ATATTCTAGGCGGCTGAGACTCAAAGGGTTTGGCAAGTGACAGGGCCTGTAACCCAGGTCTATTTGGTTCTAAAAACCTGTATTCTTTTCAGTACACACGGCTGCTTCTCCACAAATTAATTATAACAGGGAGAGGTTTTTTTTTTTTTAAGAGTTGACTTAAAGAAAACTATTAAGTAAATGGCACAGGGCCCAATGGCATGATGAAAGCACAGTGGTTATACTTTAGTGATGACAGATATCAGTCCAGAAAGACACACAGTGAGGCTGGCATGGAGCTGGGGCCAGAACCCAGGTTGCAGGATCCCGTCTCAAGCTCTCTCTACTATTGCATCCCTGAGAATGGTCATTGATAGGGAGACAGGGAGTCGCCACTGCAAAAATTTATCTGAGTGCCCAGAGTTGATTTCACACGCCTAAGCCCAGTGCAAATCAAATCAAAGATGGAGTAAGTAAAAGGTAGAGCCCATTTGTGTTACTCCAACCAGTGTCCACCTGTCACCAGCAGTGGGCTCGTGTGGATGCTCCTCAGGCCCCCTCCACAGTGCCCTGAGACTTGGTTCAGTGCTGGGCTGGGAAAGCAGGCGCAGCAGCCCTGACTGGGGAAGCCTCAAACAGAGCTCCTGAGCCCAGAGGAGGGGCCAGGTGGCAGACGCTACAATGTTTGTTAGTGCAAAGCACAACAGGTGCATTTTGTGATGTAGAACTATTGAAAATCTGAACATATTTTTAGCTGAACAACAAAAACAGAATCTGTTGTTTCTGTTTTGTTTTGGTTTTGCTTCTTCCAGAAGGACTGGCACCCTGGCCCACATTCTGGACCTCTGCCCTTCTTTCCTCCCAGGCCAATACATGATGAGCAAGAGCCATATTGCATCAGGCTGATGGCAGTCTAGGGGAAAAGAGGTGAGGTGTGATGTGGGGTGTGCATGTGTGTGTATACGTGCCCTGGCATGTTTTAGAAAGAAGGGCGCCTCAAGGTGATGAGGACTAGGCAGAGGGAAGCCTTGGCAAGTGTGAATGAATGAATGAATGAACCAATGAACAAATGAACTAACAAAATGCCCAGGCCTGCAGTCTTCTCTGTGTCCTTCCTGATCCCAGATGGGGACAAGTCTTTTCCCTAAAGTGGGAGATAGGCAACCTTAAGCATTGATTTCTATCATCATTATGCCCTTACCACCTCTTCTATAAAACATTACAAGAAAAAACGTGGGACTTCCTGGACAATCCTTTCTCAACATCATTTCCTTTTTAGTCCCTGTGGTCATGACTCGGGCTGGGGGAGGAGGGAACATCTAAAGGCTTGCATAACCAGGCATGGTAACCAGAAAGAAATCCCCAATAACAAAGCGTGGAACTGGGGTCCAGAGCGCCCTCAGTAGCGGGGTGCTTCAGTGGATTGTTTATGAAGATGGCCACAGCAGCGGCTCGATAGCCTCAGGGAGATGACTTTGCACTGGCACTTCAGAAGCAGCTTACCTCTCCATCCTACAACTGTGGACTGGCTGTGCGACTTGATTTGGGCAATGAGCTGTCAGTGCAGGTGACACAAAGGCTTGAAACCCCACTGGTGTTTTCCCGTTTGGAGCTCTTTTTTTTTTTTTTTTTTGCTTGGTCAGGAAATTGTAGCCATATCAGTGGCTCCAGTGGAACCCAGCCCAAATCACCAACCCACAGAATAATGAGCAAATAAAATAGTTGTCATTTTCAGACACTGAGTTTTGACATAACTTGTTACACAGTCATTGATAACTGATAAAGCCTTAAGGAAGGCTTTATTTCTTTGTGACTCAGTTTCTTTATCTGTAAAATGTGTGTTAATTAAATGATACATATAAAGTATCTAAAAGTGTGAAATACATTCTGGCCATGGTTGTTATTACTATCCTTGTTTTGACAATAAGGAAAATGAGGTCCAAAGACGATATTTGACTTGGCTGAGCTGGGAGGTGGTGCAGCAGAAATTCAAACCCACCTCCCCAGGTAACGTTTGCTCTGCTATGATCCTATGTCGTCTCTCCTCCTGAGGATTCCTTTTCTCTTCCTCTCTCCCCCTCTGCTTTACTAATTCCTACCATCCAAAGGCACTGGGCTCAGAACTCACCCTGGATTTCGGTAACCCACCGGGAGCCAGCCCTTCACCTTTTGAATCTTCAGTGAGTCTCTCAGGAATGCCCACACTCCCCTCATTACCTCACTCAGCCAGTCTGTACCGACTGCCTTCTAGGTGGCAGCACCACCCTCAGGGACAGCAGTGGGGCCACTGCAGAGAACCTGGTGCCACCCCCGGGGACCCACAGTCCAGGCGCCCTCCCTTCGAGTCCAGAGTCCGAGTCCAGCACACGCTATATCACCAGTTCACAAGTTTACTCTCATCTTCCTGTGCAGCTTCTAAATGCCTTGCAGGCAAAACCAGCTTCTTTCATTTATTCATACATCCCTCCTTCCATCCTTCAATAAGTACCCCGGGAATAACAGGGATGTACAAGACACTTCAAAGACCAACTCTTGAAATATTCACAGCCTGCTGCTCTGCCTCCTGTGGTGCTGAGACCATAGAAGGTAGTCCCAAATATTTGAATTTAAGTGAATTTCTGGACAACTACTGAAAACTCAGTACAGACAACAAATTCCCTGATGCGGGAGGGGATGCTGTGGGCACTATGTTCTCACTTTTCTGCAGCAAGTGGCAAAAGGAGAGAGTGGGGAGGGGCTGACCCTTCCTTCCCTACCAGTTCTGAGGCCATTGAGAAGCAGCTGGGAGATGGAAAGAGGGACCACCCTGCCCACCTGGCCTGTTCATCTAATACCAAGGGCATGCACTTCTGTCCAGCCACCCTGCCCCACAGCCAGCAGGGACACACGTGTGTAGGCACCAGCATCACCCTCTTGGTCCCTGACAACTGCCTGCCCTATCCAGCCCACAAACTGGAGAAAGCTTTAATTGCCAACCTGAGTTTCACTGAGAGCTGAAGTAACCTGCCCAAGACACAGCGGCCGGGCTCGATCTGAGTCTTTGGGCCTCAAGTGTAGTGCTTCTCACCAAGATCTGACGCCAGGGAGTGTATATGCCAACTGAAGAGACAGGGCAGAGAACTTCAAGATAACACACGGAGTTTTTTTAAAACAGCCGCAGGAATTTGAGGCCCAGAGGTGATGGCTTTCTTAAGGTGGTGGAGCTTGCTCTGCGTTTGAAAACTGAGTATGACACAAGTAAGTATAAGAGGAAGGAGGGCAGCTGTAGGCAGGGGGAATAACAGGGGTGAAGCAGCCAAGGTCGGGGGGATTGGGGGTGAACATAGAGAACGCAGGAGGGGAGCCCAGCTGAAGCCCAGAGGAAAGCGTCGAGATCCGAGTGTGACCAGCCAGGGTCCCAAACATAGACCCAGGTGCTGGAACACCGTGGACGTGAAGTGCCTGAGAAACAGGAAAAGGTCCTGGATGGAGAACAAACGCTCTGCAGAGAAACATTTCATCTGATTTCCGGTCTCGCCCCTTTGTCCCCATGCTTCCCCACTGCAGGAACGCACAGCCTGCCTCACCCTCACACCCTCCAGGGAGGTGGAGACAGAGTCTAAGAGGACCGTGGGCTCCGACACACTGCGCCCCTGGGTTCTTTCTCCTGGGTGTTCTTCACTTATCTTCCCTTTCGTTCTCACAAGGGGCAGGCATTATTATTTCTGTCTATCAGCTGGATTTGAAGCCAGGTGTCCGGCTCCAGAGTCTGTGCTATAAACCACAAGGTGATTCTTCCCCACAATCCCAGCTGCCTCAAAGTCAAGTTGTGTTTTCTCCATCAGCAGTACCTCCTTTCACCCAAAGCAATGATCTAATTAAAAACTGTCAGGGCTCAAATTTTTCTCCTTAACTTGGAATCATAGAAATATGTGTTTCGATGTTGGTAGAGCAACCACTAGGAAGTCTCACCCCCATTTTTATGATTGGGAGACTGAGGCCCAGTAGAGGAAATGCCTGGCCCAAAGTCTCATAGCTGGTTAGGGTCTAAGGCAGGACTTCCTACCTGAAGTGCAGGCTCTTGGGCAAAGGCTCTTAGCCCCTTTGAGGGGTCCACCAGCTACTGGTCACCCAGGATGTGGACTGAGGAATAACAATATCAATGAGAGGGGCCTTCTCACAGCCTGCTCTTGGTCCTCTCATACCAGGGATTTTCAAATATAATCTTAGCCTCAGAATCCTCCCCTTTCAATGAGACACTTGACAAGGAATCTCCACATACTTTAAACATAACAGTCTGATTCCAGCCTGGGGGGCTCAGGGGTGGAAGGCCTGTGGTTCTGTCTGCTGGGCCTCCCCACCCCTGGGGCTGTCTCACTCCTCCCCAAGGAAGCCCATGGCTCCTCAAAGCACACGCTGTAACTTCCAGCACTATTAGCCAGTGTGTTTGTGTTCCCCATTCCCTCACCTTCTTGGACTCTAACACCCATCCCAAAACCAGTTAGATTTCAAGCCCAAGCAGGCAGCAAGGTTCATTCTGGGCCAAATTGTGCACATTCTTACATTATGACCCTGAGATGGCAAGGCATGCTTATCAACCCCAACCCGGCCCCATGTGAGCCTCCAAATAGTGCTTCATTTAGCAGATGAGAATACGGAGACCCAGATGAGCTCCACACCCCACAGTCAGTAAGGAGTGGGCCTCGGCTTCTGCCTGTCCTACCCGAGCCTGGCTCTCACCACCTCAGCTTGGCATCTTCTGCTTTGGAATGTAACACGTTCTCATGGCTGGCAGGTAATCTGAATCTCTATGAACTTTTACAAACTAAATGTGCCCAGGGCCCCTCCCCAGACATTCTGAAACAGAAGCTGGGGCTGTAAGCCATTATCTCCCACCCTGATAATCCTACTGTCACTCGGGCAAAGGACAGAGCAAAAGGGCCCAGGGTTACCCAGACGGCTGGCAAGCCTCCCTCCAGTGCTGGGCGTGGAGGCAAAGGGGGCTCAATCCCAAACAGCAGCGGAACCGGGGTGAGACTTACTGTGTAGAGCTCGTTGGTGACCTTCAGTAGCTCCTCATGCATCTGCAGGCCAATCTCCTTGCTCTGTAACATGGAAGAACAAATGTCAAAGGGGCAGAAGGGTGCTGGCTGCACTGACCAACTTCCTTTTCAACACAGAAAGCGCAGCAATGCTTGGGGTCACGTGAGAAGGGGTACAGAAATCCACATAAACCTCACTGACCCAGATCTGAATTCTTCAACTCATCTCCATGAAACAAATCCACAGAAAGAGACTCCTTACAACAGGAATTCCTGGACCATGTAGGCTGGGGAACTCTATATATCACCTCCCGACCTTGGTGATTCACAGGGACATCAAACTAAAAATTCTGAGGAGCCCCAGAGCCAATCAACCCGTTCATCTTTCTGTAATCCTGGGTATCCTAACCTGATGTGGTCAGAATGTGTGTCCCTAGCTCAGCATTCCTTAACATCTCATGAGACTGGGCTTCCAAAGAACCCAGTTTAACAAATAATCATCTAGCCTTTCAATTCAGTGAACAGCTCAAGTAAATAGAGAGTCCACTGGAACATGAGGCAGGGCATATGGGTTCTAGCCTGGCTGCATCACTGTCTGGCCCCATGGCCTTGGAACTGAAGTTATTGAATCTATAAGATATAGATAGATAGATAGATAGATAGATAGATAGATAGATAGATAGATAGATAGATGGATATATACATATAAACTTTAAAAAGTTGCTTGAACAAAATGAGACAGGTTTTCTTACTATAGAACTTTTCAGAGGCTATCATCCCCTCATGTGCATGGACTTTCTAAGGCGTGGGGCATATAGGATGCACATGTAGTTGACCTCAACCCAAACCACAAGGTGACATATATATTTAATATATTGAGAGACACAAGTCAAAGAACAATGAGCAAATAATTACCAGGTCCTCTTCAGCCTGAAGAGTCCAGGATTCTGTTATTTTGTGTATTATTATTATTATTATTATTACAGCCAGCCAAGTGTTCTGCATCCAAAGATTCAACCAACTGTGAATTAAAAATATTTGGGGAAAAAAAACCTAGAGAGTTCCAAAAAGCAAAGCTTCGATTTGCCTTGTACTGCCAGCTATTTACACATAATTCTATTCACATAGAATTTATAACTATTAACATGGTATTTACATTGTACTAGGTATTGTAAGTAATCTAGAGATGATTTAAAATATATGATTTAGAGAATGTACATCTTTATATGCAGATACTATGCCATTCTATACAAAGATCTAGAGCATCTCTGGATTTTGGTATCCACCTGGTGGGGGTAGGGCGGGGCGCGGCGGTGTTGATGGTCCTGGAACCAAACTCCCCATATTGCTGGATGACTGCATTGTCATTATGATTTGAGGGGAGAGAAAACGCTCTCCCTGTTCGCCCAGGCCATCATGTGAGACTTCCATACTGACAAAGGTAGCTCTGCCCCTTGACATCAGAGCCCTCCTGTCCTTTCTCTCGGCTCCCTCGGCCCCCAGCATGGTCAGCCTCCCTCTAGTTCCTGCACAGATCAGAGCCGTGGACTCTGGGGTCGCTAAGAAGGTTTAGCACCAGACATCCTTCCTGGGCTCTGCTTCAGGCCCATCTCATTCCCCTCAGCTTCTAGGCCTGGCAGGGCCAAGAATCACCTCTCTGAAGGCAGCCCTTACAGGTGTCAGATTTCCTAACAGACAACAAGAGCTCTGGGGCAATTCCAGAGATCTGTTTAGACCTCCCTCCAGCTCTGCTGACTAAAGCAAGCGGACCCAGTGCAGAAGCTCAGGACTATCTCAGCAGAATTTTCTGTACAGAGCTCCCAGGGAACCTTCTGTCACATCATGGGCATCTACAGAGGTACCCAACAAGCTGTTCCCATCTCCTTCCACTCTCCCTGAGTCTCAACAGCTGCCTCAGTTTCTCCTGCAGCCCCTCCCCCTGACGTTTGCTTCAGACTCTCTGACACCCCTCAGTGACCTCCTCTTGGTCTAGCCAACGTCTCAGACACTCAAGACTTTGTTTCTTATGTATTTATTTTTATGATATAACTTTTTTGCTAGGTAACAAGTGCACACGGTTAAAGAAACTCTTAACAGCAAGCAAAGTAAAAAGTGAAAAGTAGGTCTCCTGAGTTCCCAGAACCCCACTCAGAAGCACCTACTATTAAAGTTTTCTTCTGATGTCTTCTAGAAACAGAATATGAATATACACACATAGAGCTGGATACCATGTTCTATTTTTTAATATAAATGAAAGTAATCCACACAAGCCTTTGCATCTTGCTTTTTTCCACCAAACAATATATCTGACAGGTTTTTTTTTTCCTGGACAGGCCATGTAGCTCTTGCATTCTCCTTTTCTATTAATAATAGCTGCTTGGGGTTCCATACACCAGATATGTCATAACTAATTAACCAGCAGGTTGTTTTGAGTCTCTTAATATTCCAAACAAGGATGCGGTGAACATCTTTGTACTCTGTCACTGTGCACATGGGCAAGGACCCTTGCCAGATAAATTTCTAGAAGCAGCTCTATTGGGAAGAGTCTGGCCTTCTCAGCTCTGCCCCAGCCAGCTTCCCACGCACTGCTGACTTCAGCTCCCACTTCTCGGTGATTGGCAGCCATGTCATCACCTCCACGGCCCTCTCTTGGGCTCTGTCTGCTGTTACAAAACAGTATCATTTGGATGATCCCCTCATCACATCAAATTCAAATTATCCAAAAGAAAAGGTGTGACATTTCCTCCATCTCCTCAGGTTCAGTCAATGGGATAATATCTTCCTAAACACGGCGACTGGAAATTTGGAGCTATCTTTGACACTTTTAAAAAACTCCTCCATCCTCAATCCAACTTGTCACTGCATCCTACCATCAAACTGCCTGGTACTTTGTTCTCTGCAGCAGACAATGCCGGCTCCCTCCCCAGCATTCATTCTTGCCTTTCCTGCTTCCTAACAGAGCCATGAATTTGGCCCTGTGTTCATCTCTCCAACCAAGTTTTTTCAAGGACATAGCCAACCCCATCCCGACTCAAGATGGTGCATTCTGTATGTGTTGTTAGTCCAGGGGTGAGTATGTGACAATTGCATGGAAGAGGACTGAAAAGGTTGAGGGGAAGGTTTTTACCACTACTGAGTGGTAGCAAAAATGCCTGGAGCCTCAGTGGCTATCAGCAGACCTTTTGGGGAGAGGAAGGACCAGGAGAGGAAGCAGCTTCGGGTGGCTGAATGAAAACCTAAATCCTAATGACCTCCCAAGAAACTAGTTAAACTGAACCCACAGGCTGTCTCTGGCAGAACTTCTACTTTTGTGGCTTTACTAGTTAAGTTATTTAAAAGCTGGATTTTTTGTCACATGCAGCCCAAAGCAACCTACATTTTCCATCACCAGTCCCAGAGCAGACAATGGCATCACTTCAGGGCCCAGATTCCTAAAGCTGCCCCTCAACAAAGTCCTGACTCTAGTCCCCGATTCCTCATGGCCATCCCAGTGTCATTTCCTAGAAAAGTATCTTACTCTGTTCCTCCAAAGTTGCCTCAATGCCTACAGGATCAAGATCCAGCTGTTTAGCTTGACTTTAAAGGCTCTATGTGACTAGCACAGGGTGGTGTGCTTGTATGCTAAGTCGCTTCAGTTGTGTCTGACTCTTTGCAACCCCATGGATCACAGCCCACCAGGCTCCTCTGTTCATGGGATTTCCCAGACAAGAACACTGGATTGGGTTGCCATGACCTACTCCAAGGGATCTTCCTGACCCAGGGATCAAACTTGCATCTCCTGCACTGGCAGACAGGTCCTTTACCATCAGTGCCACCTGGGAAGCCTAGTTACTAGGTGGAGAGGGCTCAAATTCAGAGCCAGAGTGACGGGGGTTGGAGACAGGACGTTAGAAACCATTTAACCTCTCAGCACCTCTGCTTCCTCGCCTGTAAAAGGAGTGCCTGTTACTGCTCTTCTTTGCGCTTATAATGGGAAGTATAATGATCTTGCTTGTCTACTTGTTTATGCATTTGTCACTTGTATTCCCCATTTGCAGGCAAACCCCATGGGGTCAAAGAGACTTTTTCTCTGATGGTAGATGCTCAGATCCCCTTGTCACTGGGACCGCTGGCAGCAGACAGCCCCTAGCTGAGAGCATGCTTTAGTGGTGGCATCAGAGGGCATGGTGACAAGCCCTCCAAAGACTGATGCCTCATCCAAAGATATGGGGCGTAGAAACCAGTCTCTCCTGTCTCAACCTGGACAGCTTTAAAGGGTCGTTCTATCTTTAGAACTCCTTGTAGGGCCAGCTAAGACCTTGCGTAAGACTGCCTGCATCACAGCTTGACTTCACTCTGCTCCCTCCACCATCCTTCCTAGGGGTGGATCCCAAGTATCTCCCTAATCATTCTGCTGTTAAATTTAGGCCTCAGAGTCAGTTTCCCGGTACCCAGCTTGCAGTGTCTCACTTTCCCACTCTTCCCGCAATGCCACAGAGCCTGTCACCCAGTGGGTGCTCATTAAATACGCTTGCTGAATGAACCTATGAATGAATGTAGTGCCAATTCCTCTAAGCCTTAGTCTCCTTATGTATAAACATAGAACGATGCCATGGGTGTCATGAAGTCCTTGTGAGGCTGGAAAGAGATGATGCATATGGCAGCACTGGTATCATACCAGACACAGGTGAAGAGCTCGGGAAATCACATTACAGACTGAATCAATACCCACTGGATGCGAGGGGCAATGTTGCCCAGGAAAGGGAATTCAAAACTGAATTTTTTATCAACTCTTCCCAGTTTGGTGGAATCAAGGATCAAGAACCAAAATGGCATGATGTGGAAAAGGCTGCAAAAGAATGAAAGAGGTGATATGGGATGAGGGGATAAAGAGCCTGGAGGGACCACCTCACCTTTCATGGGCGGCCAGAAATGGCATTCTAGGCAAGGGCCACAGCCTGAGCAAAGGCATGCTCCCCAGGAACAGGGGAAAGCATGGTTTGCAAAGACAGAAGCATAACAACAGAAGAACAGAAGACATGCTTGACATGGAGGTTGGGCCAGATCACAGAGGCTGACAAAGT